TAAAGTTTATGCCTACATTGTGCTTTTTGTTTTAGCTGTTAATACCATTCTTTCTATTCCGTGTAAGATGGGTGGATTTGCAAGATGGAAAGTAGTTTTGAAACTGATAAAAGTAATCATCCTGCATTTGAGCATGCAAAGCAACAAATTAACTTCATATCATTAGATATCTTTGATTTCTAGTTGCTGGCAGGATCTATAAAGCCTTTTCTTCTTTCAGTTCCTGAATGGTTGTCATCGAGTGGCACTTTACACTGGGAGGATTGTAGGAAGAAAGCCTTCCTATTTTATTTTGCCATTCTATTGAGTACAATTGTGTTTGTCACGACAACGATTTCTATTTTTTTAAGAAAAGGAAATTTGATTTCAAATGTTGCCTGTGCTGCATTTACAGATAATGCTGAGAAAATGACACCACTTTGTGCTTGGAATTTGAAATTTATTTTTCTTTTTAATGACTGTGTGCTTCCTGCCAACTGATTGCTTCGATCTTGCATGGGAAGTTCTCGCTGAGGAGAGATGTACTAAAATCACAAAGTACATCGCTGTTTAAGTTTCCTGAAGTTCCTAATATTCTTCCCTTCCATATTCATGAAATTAAATCTGATTTTGATGGCACGTTATCATATGCAATAAACAATTTGGAGCGGGAGTGAAGAGTTATTTCCAAGATGATCCTGTTAGACTATAACAAGTGATAGGCTAACCCTTCAGAGGTTGCAATAACATGTTCTTAATTTTTCGATTAAAGGATCTGTATCCATTTTTGTAAATTTTCCCCACATCAAAATGAGGGATATCTTGGTGCTGGATAAAGAGCACATTCCACTTCACCCAGTGTTGGTACTAAGTACTCAATAGTCAATTACACGAGGGCTAGCTGCAGAATAAAGCTCCCACTACTCTAGCCCAACAATGAGTCTTTATTTCAACCTCAAAAGGTTCCCTCCTACTATTGGACTAACATGTCAATTCCACTTCCCACATCATTGTCCTGTGAGACTGCCAGTTCTGTGCGAAGCGCCCACACACATTAACAACTGGCCTGAGACTGCCTCAACTCTTTTCAAGAAGGACCCTTCGAGCCAGCGGAGAGAAGCAACATCCATTCCATCAGTGTGGACTGAACTTGAATGTGGGACCAAAACTGAAAGGCCTTTGGCAGTACCCTGTTACTTCACTATTGCTATTAAGAGTACAGTGAATATTGTAAAATGGCCAGAAGTTGAATTTTCTGCATCATCTGTGGATTTGAGATTTAATTCAATTATGGATGTGTAATGGCGTGTAGTTCAGCTAACTGGTGGGGAACAGAAGAGATTGAATATATTCAGTTTTTAAATTTTTTTCATGGGATGTGGACATCAGTGGCTGGGACAGCATTTATTGCTAATACCTAATTGCCCATAAGGTAGTTAAAAGTTGATCACCATTACTCTGTGGGGTCTGGAGTCACATATAGGCCAGACCAGGTAAGGATGGTAGCGTTCCTTCCCTAAAAGGTATTTGTGATAATCAATAGTGTCTATGAATTCCAGATCTTATTGAACTTATGGTGAGATTTGAATCCATGTCCTCAGAACATTAGCCTGGGGTTCTGGATTACTAGTCCAGTGACAATACCATGATACCACCACCTCCCTTTTGAAGAAAAAAAAACACACCTTTAAGTGGAAGAACTAAAGTTTGATCAAATTTGTTCGATATGAGTAGGTCTAATCAGAAGGCAGCAGCCACCAGTGGAACTAAACCTGACCAGAACTGGCACTGAAGAGAAGGGCATTCATTACCTATCCCGGATTACCACTGAGAAGGTGATGGTGAACCACCCTTGCAAATAGCACTGAATGTACCAACACTACACAGACGGCAGCAATTTAAGACTGAGTTCTAGCATTTTTGAACCAGACACAATGGAAGTTCAGAGATATATTTCCAAACCAGAATGATGTATAACTTGGGGATCATCCAGGTGTGGTGTATCCCATGTGCTTCTGCCCTCAGGAAATTGGATAAAGGACATAGGTTTTGGAAGGTGCTGTCAAAGGAACCTTGGTAAGTTGCTGCAGTGCATCATGTAGATGGTACACAATACTGCTACTGAGAATCACTGCTGCAGGGAGTAAATATCGAAGGTGGTGGATGTGGGCCAATCAAGTGGGCTGCTTTGTTCTGGATTGTGTCAAGGATTGCTGGAGCTGCACCCATCCAGGCAAGTGGAGAGTATTCCATAATACTTCTGTCTTATATGTTGTAGATGGTGGACAGGCTTTGGAGAGTCAGGAGGTGAATTACTTGCCACAGAATTCCTAACCTCTGACCTGTTCTTGTAGCTGTTGTATTTACATGGCTGGTCCAGTTCAGTTTCTGATCAATGGCAACCCCCAGGATGTTGATTAGTTGTGGATTCAGTGATGGTGATGCCATTGAATGTTAAGGGGTGACGGTTAGATTCCCTCCTGTTGGAGAGAACTGCATTTGTGTGGTGGGAATATGACTAGCCACTTACCAGTACAAGCCTGGATATCGTCCAGGTCGTTCTGCATGTGGACATGGACTACCTCAGTAGCTGAAGGGTTGTGAAGTGCCAGGTTGTCTGAATTGTCTTTTGACAGCACCTTCCAAACCCGTGACCACTACCGTCTACAAAGACAAGGGCGGCAGATACATGGGAACACCTGCTAGTTCCCCTCCAAGCCACTCGCCATCCTGACTGGGAACTATATCATCATTCCTTCAGTGTTGATGGGTCAAAATGTGTCTCTAGCTACACCAGATGGACTGCAGCAGTTCAAAAAGGCAGATCACCACCTGTTCCTCAAGGGCAATTAGTTATGGGTGCCCAATATTAGCCCAGCTAGTGACACCGAATCCCCAACATCTTGCACTAGAAACTGCGGGTTTGTTGACATTGGGTGATGCCACTTGGGAGGGGTCCTCCTCTCCTGGGCCAGGCTAACAGTTCCTAATGGCTGAACTCTAACATGGACACTATAAAAAACTGCTGGCTGCCTGTAGTCACCGCATAAATCAGCATCTCAAAAGGAGACAGGGAGAGAACAAATTGGGGTCACAAAATACATAAAATAATGCTCCCAAAAAAAACCGACAAAGCGTACTTTGTAACATTGTCATCATACTGATTGTCGTGATTTGAGACTATGGCAGCTGGAAAGGAAG